TGAAATATTTTGAAGATTATGTACTAATTTTTCCTTGAAACAAAAACAACTGAAGAATGAAGATTTTCAATAACAATCTAACCAAAGGAATTTCATTTTTCAAAAAAGTTATTTAATATTTATCTAGCATACATCAATCATAAGCACTAAATTAAAATAGAGTAAAATTAATTATTTTTAAACTTTTTAGGCATTTTTCGCGCCAAAATCAGGAGCAGTAAATTTATTTGATTGATTTATAATTGTTTTTTCCCTAAATTATAGTTCAGAAATCCTTTAATTAATTTAACTTCAGACTTTGGGTGGAAAGATTTTGGCGAAATCTGCCAATTACATTTTTCTCGTCTCTAACTCGGTGATATGAAATATTAGTTGCTATGTATAAGAAGTGTTAATGCCTAGGGTTTATGATCTTCCTGATTGCAGTAGATTGGATAATGCAACAGACAACGGGCAATGAGGAAACACGCATAAAATGGACTCACACAAAAAACCTGGAGGATCTGGACTTCGCCGATGATATATGTCTGATTTCCAACAAACTGGAAGATATGCAAATGAAAAGCGACAAGCTAGCAGAAAAAGCATCCAGAGAAGATGAAACTTCAGGTGAACATAGATAAAACAGAGGCGATGAAAATTCCTGGCCAACACCAACACCAACAGCCACAGAAACAACACCAGACAACAATCAGCCAGCACAAATAGGAGGAACCTGAAAGAAACAGCCTCCTTCACCTACCTACCTACCTACCTACCTACCTACCTACCTACCTACCTACCTACCTACCTACCTACCTACCTACCTACCTACCTACCTACCTACCTGGGAAGCATCATTACAATTACAGGCGGAATTGACGAGGATATCAAAGGAAGGATCAGGAAAGCAGGACAAGCCTTCATTACTCTCAAGTCTGTGTGGAGGTTAACAGCACTCAGCATCAAAAATAACATCCGGATCTTCAACTTCAATATGGAGTCACTACTACTATACGTATCAGAGACGGCGCGTCATAAAGAGCATCTCAAACAAACTAGAAACCTTCATTAACAGCTACTTTCGCTCAATACTCAAGATCAGATGGCGAGCCAGAAAAGATCAGCAATAGTGAGGGATCTCTGGCAATGAGCGAACCAACCAGGAACCGATTGTGCAACAAATATGCAGGAAGAAATGGAGATGGATTGGCTGGTCATACTCTCAGGAAACAAACCATCAAGTGACATCACTAGACAAGCCATTGCTTGAGTGGAACCCGAAAGGGAAGCGGTGAGTTAGTTGGTCGTCAGTTCGAGGGTGGGGTGACTTGGAGGAGGTCATGTGAAGAGGAGATGAAAGCATGTAGGCAGACTTGGAGCCAGGTGAAAACTCTAGCGGTAAACCGAACTCAATGGAGATGCGCGGCTGAAGCCCTATGTTCCTCTAGGAATTAAAGGATATAATAATAATAATGCCTAGGGTTTTGCTATACTTCTATATTAATCGTAATAATCATATATAATTTCCAAATATTTCACTTGTAAAGCATAATATTTCTTTTCAGAATTAAAGACAGATTCAACGAAGAAAATTTTCTTTATCGACGAAATCATCTTCAGAGGCTGTACAGTCGTATTTATACTTAGAAAAATGCATAATGGTATATTACTGAGTAATAGGGGGTGACATAATTGATGTAATTAATCATAAGTGGCTTTAGAGGTGAAAATTAAAAGTTGTAAATTACATGGTACTTGACGGAACAAAGATAGAAGTTAGAAAAGGTTAAAATTGCTCTTAAGTGAGAATAAAGTTATTAGAGTGTCAATTTAACAAGTGTGAAGAAGGTGTGAAAATATATGAAATTGATAATAGTGAATTAATTATTAAAGCAAAAGCAAACTAAAAGTAAAAGTCTTTCAACATCATCTACAAAGTGAAGCCAAATTGTACAAAGGGCGTCAGGTTCCGGCTTTTGTGTATGGCGGAGGCGCTGGCAATACATCAATACAACCCTGATCTCTGTATACAGAAAAAGTTTGTCCAGTCTCTTATTCTACCTTGGTCTTAACCTCTTCACTTATCGTTCCCTGTAAAAAAATATTTTTGATTTTGTTCTTAATCTTTAATTTTACTTTTAGTTTGCTTTTGCTTTAATAATTAATTCACTATTATCAATTTCATATGCTCCTTTTGTATATTTTCACATCCTCTTCACACTTGTTAAATTGACACTCTAATAACTTTATTCTCACTTAAGAGCAATTTTAACCTTTTCTAACTTCTATCTTTGTTCCGTCAAGTACCATGTAATTTACAACTTTTAATTTTCACCTCTAAAGCCACTTATGATTAATTACATCAATTATGTCACCCCCTATTACTCAGTAATATACCATTATGCATTTTTCTAAGTATAAATACGACTGTACAGCCTCTGAAGATGATTTCGTCGATAAAGAAAATTTTCTTCGTTGAATCTGTCTTTTATTCTCTTCATGACTCAATGGGTACTTTCCAGAATTATTTATTTATTTTTTGATGAGAGTATCGAATCTTCTTTATTGAACATGTGTTACTTTATCGCACTACATGGTGATCATTTTCTATACATAGTCGATGAATCTCAAAACTTTCTGAGGTCTGGCCCGGACTTTGACTGGTATCTGGAGAGCATCATGATAACCAGATAGAATCAGCAGACTGTAAGCATGCACTAAGGCCTAAAAATAAACAAGGCAACTCTTAATATGTGTAACCTTACATGGCAAACTCAAATGAGGTTAAGCCAGTACAAAGTAAGCCATAAATGTTTTTGACTTTTAAGTTTGATCACAAAGTGATATGAGTTAAAGAACATTTGAAAATCAGAGTGTACTTGACCGCCTTTTCGTCCTTGTTTGGACTCTTCACAGTACGTGCTTATCAACCCCACCAGGGATTAGAGCCATGACTTTCGCGTCGCAAGGAGAACTATTCGACCATTCAACCATTGGGATGTAATCCAATGCTGTATGGAGTCCAACTTCTGTCAGTTTCTTATTTTAGCACGGCCACCAGCCAATGTCGTCGGGGAGTATTTGTCTGCACAATAGATCTGGTGGACTGCACTTCCCAGGGCTTCTCACTAGTACTCCATGCAAATTTGTCCTGTGCTCAGTCACCAGTGAGCCCAAGACTAACCTTCCAACTGTCAGGGAACCATTAAAAATCAGGGACAGCTGTTCGTTAAGACAAACAGTCATCGATGCCATTAGCTGCCTGTCATGGTAAAATTACAAATTGAGAGAAGTTTGAATTCATGAGCCATGTTTATCTTGAATCATATTTAAAAGTGATGTTAGATTTCCACTTAGGTGTACTATCAATTTTCTTTCTTGTCATGAATTTAAATATATACCTCATTTACAAATTAGGTGTTATGCTTCGATTATTCATAATAATGGATGTAGAATTTATTTTCTGATAATTTTTAAACCATCACTAACTTAGAACAATGTAAGATTTTGTAGAAATACTTGAATTTTTTTAACTGAAATATGCAGCCAATATGAATAAAAATATGACAGGAAGAATGTACTACATAGGGATGTCCTTTTTCGTTTGAACTGAAAATGAAATCATATAAACTGTCTATGGGACACAAAATTTTAAATGCTTCCAGTTCAGTTAAAGCAAATTATTCCTGATGCTTAGCTACAATATTATAACCTTTCCAAAAGGAAACACAATAGATATTCAAGATGTCAAGCGACAAGCTTGAAGAAAATGAAATTTTTATTACTTGCTGGGAAACCATGTCTACGCGAGAATTAATGTCACTTTTGACTCACTAATCGTAAACGTAACTCTGAAATGTGTTTACAGAAAGCCAGTTTTGTCGTCAGATTTTAAAAATTAGGCTTTCAAAGTAACTGATTTATATGTGAATGAAACTTACCTAGGTAGAATTGAGAACTGGTGCTAGGCTTAGACGAGAAAACTTAAGTGGAAATCATTTTTATTAATAAATTCCAGTCAAGTACGTACAACTCATAACATACCACATCTCTTCACTGCTAACATGCACATCACATGTAGTGATTTGAGTATTTTTAGCTTCCATATAAAAGTGCGACAAGATTTCGTGTTGCGCTATCTGCACTATGAATAAGTAAACACAGAGAAGTACCCCAAATAAATCCATGGTAGTTTCTCTATTGAGCAATTTAGAATTAGAATTAGAATAAGGATAATGCGGTCGAAAAAAACTGTAAAAGTACGTAAACTACTTATTTCCATTTTAGTAGACAAACGCAAATTTGTAATAAACTTCGCATCACATGGATAATTCTATCTAATGTGTACTTGTTTATCAGCGTCAGCAGAGAACAGGCGAAGAATGTAGTGATTCTGTTGTAACAAAGATAAAAACTAAGCCATCAATATAAATTTTTATATGTTCGAGGTCATTGCATTACGATTTACGCATGATATTAGAACTGAACCATCGTCTGAAGAAATTATTGTTTTGCAAACACGAAAAGTTTTCACAGTTTTCATTCGGTTTCTGTTCTAAAGGATGCTATTCAACGACGTTAATCAACAGCCATTTATGAGCAATGCCTGGAGTTATATATTCATAAGAATATTTTGCATGGGCTACTAAGTTATTTTGTAATTCGGTGGTTCAGCGGTTAAATGCCCGCCAACGAGGTATGCAGTCTAGGGTTCTGTCCCAGGTCAATGGATACCTAATTTTTATTTAGTCATCATTGAGGCCGGTGAAGTGGGAAGGTCCAGCAACTTAGTCCCCATAAAAATAAAACTACTAATACCTAAACTTTAAAGCTGAAGCATTCACCCACAAGGAAATCAAGGCAATAAAATTTAAAAAATAACCGAGGTATTCTAGCACACCAACGTATGTGAAGCCATTTTTAGATTTATGTGAAAATTAGGACAGATATGAATTTAGATGAGAGCACTTTCAAAGTTGCATGAATTATAAAAGGGATAAAAAATAATCTGAATTTACCTGGAAATTTCTCCAATTTGTTATCCTGTACATAACATCGTGAATCTGTTTGTTTATTATTCTCATTTGTATGATTTAAACATATCATACATAGTTTTTTATATTCACTGCATGAACTTAAATCTGATTTGACAATTTGTTCTTGAACGTATTCACCGAATATTTCATTGATTAATGGTGTATCATGAGTACAGTAAAATGAATTTGGATCATGTGGGAGGAAAGCTGCTTGCTGGTGAATATAAAATAAAAAATATTTTGGTTTAAATTAACTAACAGAAATTTCCTTTAATAAATACAAAACAGATGATAACGAAAAGACTGGCTCATAGTGATAAATAGGATTTCTGTAAATCTCCTTTGCATGATAAATTTTTGTCCCGAAAAGTTACCAAACCGATTAATTAAGCTTCGGTAAAAACTACATCAAATATTTGTAAGTTATAAATCAAAATTTCTTGTCGCTGTTTTTTTTCTAATAAGTACGATGTATTATTCTCGCTCTTAGATATTTGGAACCTAATGATTAGAAGACATAAAAGACTATTGATCAAATTGTTACCATACAACTTCTGGCCAATTTATCTTCAATATGAGGCCAGCTAAGGCAGCTGTTGATGAAGGTTTGCATTAGGCTATTGAAAATGCTTACCGTGATGTAAGCACCAGGTTTCTGATCCATATACAAGAACTGACCGACTAAACATTGGTGTTGATGGTCGGAATCTTCTTCTTTATGACGAGTGCGGTAAATTTCCAAAATGAATTCAGACTGATGAAGGTTTGTCTTGTATTTCTGACCCTGGTTTTGACAACTGCATCTATGCCATGTGTCTGGGGTCGTAGTAATGCTTCCTAGATAGGTGAAAGCAGAAACCTCCTCCAAATTTCTCCCGTTGATGGTGATTGGCGCTGGTTGCTGTTGCTATTGGCGCCTGGGTATCTTCATCACCTGCTTCTTCTCTGTGTTCACTTGGAGTCAAACCTTCTCTGCCTGTCTCTTCTGCCAACCTGTTGCTTTCGCCTGTTGGTCTTAAAGTTTGCTCGCCATTAGCCATAAATCACCCTCCAAATCCATATCTTCTACAGTTTTCTTATTGGTGGCCAAGTGAACTCCTGTCTCCTTGCTCCTCGCAGTCTGACTCATAATGCAGTCCACCACAATTAAGACTATCAAATAGGCAACCTGGCTTGTTTTACTCTTGCGTTCACTTCGGGAACCTCTCAGAGTTTCCCGTTGAGCATCATCTGACACGTGCCACCGTCACATAGCTAGCTGTTGAATGAGGCTGATAAAGACTTGGGCACTGCACGCTGAAGTGTTGAATTAGTTTCCAAATTACGTCTCGGCCAACGTTGTCGAAGGCCTTTACGAAGTCGAAGAAGTTGGGAAGAAAGAGGTTTGGCAGCCATTCTATACTTTGTTCTATAAAGATGAGTGGAGTTGCAATATGGTCAGCACATGATTTGCCTTTCCTTAACCTAGCTTGTTCTGTGCTGGCGAAATCTGCATTCAGTGTATCTTTTATTCTCTCAAGGAACACGCGATTTGGTATTTTACTTGGCGTGGATAACGCCAGTTCTTGCAGAGACCTAAGTTGCCCACCTTTGGTTGTTTGACAAGGTAGCCTTTCTTCCAATCAGTAGGTACCATCCTTCAAAACTTTCGAAATTTCGACCTCAGCATATCCGTTCAGTCTCTGGGTCTGTTTTCAGTGTTTCAGAGGGAGTTCCACCCAGCCCTCCTGCCTCCCAGGCTGACGTTCAGTAGCTCATTTGAATTCAAGATTTCTGCTTTTGCTGGAAGATTGATATCCACTGGCAGTTTCGTGAGTGCTGTTGGTGGTATTTGTGGACGGGTGGCAATTGATGGTTGATTCAAGAGTCCTTTAGGGTGGTCGACGCATTGTTTTGTTTATCGCTCCTCCTTGGTAATTTGGTTCCTTTGATCATCTTTTATAGGTTTCACCTGCATTGGTCTCTTCCAGTAAAAAAGCATGGTTATCAGTACTGGAATAGTTGTACGTGTTTCTCTGAACATCATCTTCAGGAAGTTCCAATGTTCTTCTACACATGTTTGCTCAGTGACGCTACGTAGTGCTTCAGTGAAGGTGTCTTCAATGGTTTCGCCCTTCAAATTTTGAGTGTCCAACATGAATTGTGGTCTGTCTGCAGTAGTCTCGAAAGTTTTCAGTTCAACCTTGAAAAGTCTTTGTATTAGATAATGGTCTGAACCAACATCTGCTCTCTTTTTCGACTTTGTGTCCAGTAGGCTACGTCTCCATTGAGATAGAATCTCTCCGGTATTTGGTGTGTCTGCCACGTGAAATTCATGCTGACATGTGTACAGCCTGACTTTTTCATTATCAACCCAAAAATGACCTTTTGTTTCTGTGCAAGTATCATGTGAACTTTACAGTTTTATGGACCCAAATCCGTAGTTAATACTGTACTTACAGGCATAAAGGGAGGCAGCATATGCCTGCAAACGTATTGAAGGAATATACATTAGTGATGCGCCGTTTGAACTTTACAATGCTAATAGTAATTATTTAATTCAGCTTTAAATTTTCCCGTCTACTGATTTGACCGAAATGCTCGGTCTCAGATAGGAACATCATCACTCACTGTTGGATGCAGGCATATTCAGATGATGAGTCACAGATAGGACGAAATACGCATCCTGGATTTTACTGCTAGTCACCATCCACCAGTTAACTTCTAATAGTAATTAGTTAAAATTTAATAATTTTATATTAAAAAGATACGATGTTATATTTGATATCGGAATGATTTCAGATTTGAAAGAGCTTATTATACATAACTGTCTATGTGGTATATATGATTTAGAAAAAAAAGCAAATGCAATTTTGACCAATTAATCTAAAAGAAAATCAAAACAAGTGATTCAGCGAAGAGACTCTTTTCAACGAATTTATCATCAAGCTGTACAGTCGTATATATATGGTTTATCAGAAGTTATATCCGGTGAGGGAATTGAATCTTAGGTGTGAATGCACAAAATAATAATAATAATAATCATATGAAGTTTGCTTTGCCACTTGACATTTAACTACGATTATAATCACAAACATTTTAGTTTTAATTGAACTTCATATGATTACTATTATTATTATTTTGTGCATTCACACCTAAGATTCAATTCCCTCACCGGATATAACTTCTGATAAACCATATATATACGACTGTACAGCTTGATGATAAATTCGTTGAAAAGAGTCTCTTCGCTGAATCACTTGTTTTGATTTTCCAAATGTTACAATGGGAATTTTCCATGAGTTATAAAATAATCTAAAAAAAGCAATTTTATTTAATATATTTGAGTTAAATAAAGTATAATTATATTTGAATAGTTTACACACAATGGTAAGTTTTGTTATTGGTAATATTTGAGTTACTTATAAGTAGTAAACGCTTTATGAATGTTTATTTCTTCAGCGAAATCGCAAACTAATTAATCTTTAAGTGACTGCTATTCATTTCCAAATTGGCCTATCACCTAGGTTAACTCATCAGTGTTCTGCAGAATGACTCACTGCTATCGAAATGACATATATATATATATACTTATTGCCAAAAAGCCAACCTTTATGATTTTATACTAAGCCTACCAATTCTGTAGCATTTTATTACAATTTACAATTTAGCCTCTTTATTTTATCATTAGACATTATCGGTCAGCCCTCACATCTAGTGCCTCCTTTGTTAACGTGTCTTTACATGTATTTTGTGGTTATCGCATTCCTCTCACCCCAAGGACACTTGTATTCTTTTAACTAAAAAACAACACTATATCACCCAATTGTTCATTCACACTTCATCACATTTTCTGAATATACACCCTATACACATTTAATTGACTATGCTAACTAATGGACTACCATCTCAACTTACACATGCACCCCAATACAATTTCTGATATTATTTTCATTTGCCCTTATTGGCTTTATGTATTCCATTATTCATGGATTTATAACTGTAGAGCCTGAAGAAGACGTTACCGAAATCAATTGTTCGCTCAAAATCTTGTTTTGATTCCATCAGAGATACTCAAAATAACTCAGCTTACATACCTAGAGGGTTGTGTATCTGACAAATACATAGTTCTTCTAGTTTTACGTGGAGTTTATGGAGTACTATGTAAAGTGCGAAAGGTTTGTTAGGATACGTACATAGTTTTTCGGTGATTTTATTATCAAAGTCTATGGTCCTATTAATTTGTATTTAAAATGCGCGTGGTGGAACCGAAATATGACAGTCGGTAAACAAATGACACTGATTCACGCCTGAATAAAATAGTTAATTAATTAAAGTAAAGTGATTAGATTTATTCACCAAATGATTCCCAGTGATTTGATTGTCATGAAATCAAAAACAATAAGTTTGTTTTGATAAAGGTCTCGTTAAAATATTGATGAAAAATAGAAAAGGAGTTAAATCGTGACGGTAATGAAAGATAAATTTTCCATATTTACGATACTGTGGCGATAGTTTTAGACAGGTAGCGCTAAAGATTTATTGGTTTGGTTAATACAAGTGAATATGCATACAAGTTCACTGTATTGTTTTCCAATACTTGTCCAACGTCTATGGCATAAAATGTAAGCAATAAGTATGATTTGGATCAGTATGATTCCATTAGGTTTATTTATTCTTTGGTTTCACTAAAATCCAAATGAATTTTCACATAGTTGATCCAATTTCATTCCACAAGGAAGGTTTCAGCTTGACAGTGAAGGATACTAAGCAAGTTGTATTCACTCATATAAACTTGGGCCGAACGCTTGTAAGTTTCTTTCTTAAATAGCATACTTGGTCTTGCACGCTTTTGTAGGTTATACTACCCTCATAGTTTCCCAATTAAAAACAGCAGTTGTCATGTGCTTATGCGTTTTCATTGGTATTAGTTATACTTGTGGTACAATGACATTATACGTTTAGCATATGCTTTCAGTATGGGATATTTTTGCAATTTATAGTACCTTGGTATGTTGTTAGTATGCTTTGTCATTCATTATCCCAATACAGCTATTACGTAATCACTGCGAGAAATGCCAGAATGAAAAGTAGTTTTAAGGAAATTATCCTCGAGTTGTCTCAAAGTGTTATTCTAAAAGTATGTCATCAAAGTGATGATTAAATATGATTATTTACAGGATTTCATCGTGAGCTAAAATCAGTTAGACAGCCATTGGAAAACCTGGGAGTACT